GGCGATGAAAAGCGATAGCAATCGGCGAGCTGTCAACGAGGAGGGGAGGGGATGGATCTCGTGGAAAGGTTGCGAAAAAAAAAGGAAATTCGAAAAGTGGACTCGGTGGCTTTGCTTTCAGCTTGCGGATATTCCAATCGATTCCCCCTCCGCTTTAAGGAGAAGGAGGAACGTTTTGGAAACGTGGAGGAAAGTATAGTAAATTTAAGATGAGGGGGTCTCCGGTATTCAATAATTCGTAATGGATCGAAAAATATATAAATATGGCGGACTTGATATTTCGCTGAGCGAAATCGAAAGGAGGGAGGGGCGCATTTTTCCTCCAATCGCCTTGTCGCATTTGAATGTTCTCTACACGAACTGTGTGTGTGGAGTTATATAGTCGGTTGCCGCAAGATAAAGCTAAGACGCGACTATGAATCTGTCTCGTGGGTGTTTCCTTAATGTGGGACGATGTTATACGCATAATTAGGTAGGTATGTTGCGTGGGGTGGGGGAAGGGGGAGGAGTAATGTAGGTTTCATTATCTTGTCTTCTTGATCGGTGTATATATATATATATATATATATATAAACGGTGTAGCTAGTCGAACGTTAAATTACACTCGTTATCGTTCGAGAATTGGAGAGTGGAAGGATTGGAATGAAGATTTCAGAGATGGTGGTAAAGAAAGATAATTTTGAGAAATTATTAGAAAATTATTTTCTCTTTCTTCTTTGAGTTGAAAAATGGAAGGAACGATTGAATAAAGAGAGTGGGATGATGGTCGGTGAGATAATTTGGATTATCTTTAGCAACATTGTTTTCAAATTATTAGATTTTTCTCTTTCTTCTTTGAGTCGAAAAATATAAAGAACGATTGAATAAAGGTTTCAAAGAGTAGGATAGTGATGAAGAAATCGGTGAGATAATTTGGATTATCTTTAGCAACATCGTTTTCAAATTATTAGATTTTTCTCTTTTCTTCTTTGAGTCGAAAAATATAAAGAACGATTGATAATTTGATAATTTCGAGTTTGGATTATCTTAAAATGAACTTTTTTAAATGAAAATTTTTATTAGCAACATGGTTTTCAAATTATTAGATTTTTCTCTTTTCTTCTTTGAGTCGAAAAATATAAGGAACGATTGATAATTTGATAATTTCGAGTTTGGATCATCTTGAGACGAACTCGAAAAATTGTTGTCGGCAACATAACGATTTCCAAATTACTAGATTTTTCTTTATTTTCTTTGGATTGAAAAATGTAAGGAACGATTGAATAAAGGTTTTAGAAATGATGACGAAGAAATCGGTGAGATAATTTCGAGTTTGGATCATCTTGAGACGAAAAATTTTATCGGCAATATAACGGTTTTCAAATTACTAGATTTTTCTCTTTTTTCTTTGAAAAATGTAAGGAACGATCGATAATTTGATAATTTCGAGTTTGGATTATCTTAAAGCGAAAAAAACTTAATATTATCGGCAACACCGCATTCTGAAATCATTTTTCTCTCTTTCCTTTGAAGTAAAACCAGCAACGCGTTGGTTACGAATTAACTCGTAACTCGTCGCTCATTTCGAGATAGACTGACGCCAATAAAAAAATACACGTTTCGAAAAATATTTCCAACCTACGATGATTCCACTTTGACGGTTTCTCGGCTACAGATGATCGCAGATGCGCGCCGCGTTATAGGTTATTCCTATAAGGGGGGATGATTCTGGAGGCAATCGCGAGAGGGGCAATGCCGGCAAACATTTCCGCTTTCGCGGAATCTTTTCTCGAATTTGAAACGCTCGAGCGTACGCAATATCTTCGATCCCGCATAAATTTGCCTCGCAATTTTCCGATACACGGAATACGAAGGGATTATCACTTTTGATTCGATGCAAATATCCCCCCTCCCTCCCCCCCCCCTTCTCTTTCGACAACAAAACGGGTTCGACAAATTTTGCGATATAAATTTTTCTCTGTTTGCCCGAAATCGGTCCAAGTCGATAAACATAATGAAATAAATACACGTAATCGTCGATCAAAGCTTTCCCCGTTTCTTTCGAATGTATAATTCGAAAAAATATTACCTCACTTTCCCTCGAATACACTACTTCAACGTTCCACTGGTATTAAAGAGAATCGAAGTGTAAATAGATAAATCGTTGCTAGCGAAATATCGTACAATTAATACGAGCAAAAGCGAATCGAATTGGTTAATTATGGCCAGCTATTGCTCTTTAATCGTTCGAGCATGCACCCTAATAATAATAATAATAATAATAATAATAATAATAATAATATTGGATCGATCGAACGAATAACGAATACGCCTATGTGCGATGATAAGTAAGCCGACAATTATCGCACAGAAAATTCTCTTTGAAACGATAAAATAATACGAGAAATACCGGATCTCGACTCTTCCGTCTATCTATTCAAGTCGCGAGGAGATCAACAACTTTTCACGAGCGAGAAGGGATCTGCGCGAAAAATGGAAAATTGGAAGAATTCTCGAGATTCTTCATTAATTTTGTTAACGACGAAACGTTATTAATCGCAATTACATCCGTACGTATATAATTCCCCTCTCCGCCCGTCAAATATGAAATTTACGCACACGGAGGGGAAGGGGAGGTGTTTACAAAACGATCCGATTGTTCGTCCATAACGATTATCTCGTATTTATCGCGACACTTGATGATAGAAATTCCCCCTCCCCCCCCCTCCCCGTTCGAAACGTAACGCGACGCATCGATGAGTCGTCGCGGTTGATATTTCGCTCGAAAACCGACAACGATATTTTTCAACTTTATTCCACCCTTCCCTTCTGCCGGATAACAGATTAACAACGTCACGCGCCATGTAATTACGCGACCGCTAATACACACGGAACGGCGAAAAATGTTTGGCGGCGATAAAAGATTGGCTTGTTTTCGCGACGAATTAAAAGCGTCGCCCCCTCTCTCGGTATATCTATTTATACGCGCCGCTCGCATCGATCACCGCATATGCGCGCGCGCGCGCGCTAATTCGTCGACTAGCGATGCGAATCGGCAAAATTTTATTATCCCTTCGAATGGTGTGCGACTCTCGGGCGCAGCATGGCTCGACGCGATAACTCGAGAGCCGCGACTCTCGATCGCCACGATTTCGATTCGACGATATTTATTTGTTATCTGTTTTTTCTTTTTGGAATATCGCGAATGGATTGCTAAGCTCGTCATAGGTAACGAAGAGTGGAATATATAATGTAATTATAGGTGGGTTTTCTTATCTTTATCGTGGGGATAGGGAGTGTAATTTTGAAATTTTTGAGTTTTCGTAAAAGGGAGAATAATGTGGCGATGATTCGAGGATGGAGGCGAGTTTGATTTTTCATATTTGGATCGACGAAATTACTTCTATTCTATGAGGAAATTAAGAGGGAAAAATAAGAAGAATGATGAGAATAGATGAATGTGAAAGCACGTTATGTCAACAGGAGTTAAGAAGGAAAAACGTTTTACCGTGATACTTGTTATCCCAACAAATCGGGGATCTGCATCTTAATGAGTATACGTAAAAGATAGATACGTAAAATATCGAGATATAAAAGTTTTACATGTAATTAATTCGTGTAAGAAATTCACCGATCGAAAACGTGAACTAACCACAAAACGTGGAAACCACACGAAACTATCGAAACCCGATTTGTAATTCCCGCGCTCGACCCGCGATCGTATCTTTCTTTCTCCTCCTTTCGAGAAGTCGGCGACATCTTGAGGGATTTACGTATTTAGACGTACGATTTTTCTCGAGCCGAGGGAGAAAGAAATGGAGAAAGAAAACTTTGCCTCCTCCATTAATTTCGATCAACGCGATCGATATCGGTTAATTACCCGGCCCCCGGTTAGTAAAGAGCCGTTAGTAGCATCGCGTCGTAGCCTCATTAATCTTGAGTTTGCGGCAAGCGGCGTATACCCCGCGCTTTTTCGACCTTCTTGTCCAGAACGGTGAATGGGAAAGCACGTTTTCCCCATCTCCACCCTCTTCCCCCTCCCCACCCTCCATCCCGAGGACGGAGAGAGAGAGGGAGAGAGAGAGAGGTTGACGAGCTCGCACGAAGATTATCGAGCTTGCACGAAGCGGGGGTGTCGGAAAAGTGGGGTGCGTGGGTGGAGAGAGGGAGAGAGGGGGTGAGTTTGGAGGGCGCAGGTTGGAAGGAGAATGGTATCCGTGCGCGAAAGCTCATTGGCAGCATCCAGTGTCATCGCGGACCTCGGGACGCACGCTTCGTTCGTTCCTCTCGCGAGGGGAGAAAACGCTTTTTTCTTTCCTTTCCCCCGCGCGTTACATCTCCCTTCGATATTCGATTCTACCGGCGGGGTAGAAATACGACGACGCGTATCCCAAGGCCAATGTTTCCCAAACTCGACCACCGACGCATCGATACACCGTTGCATCGACAACTTGACGATCGTGATCGACGAGGCTACGACCATGCATCTCCTTTTCCGGATGAAACTTTGCTATAGTTAGTTTTTCTTTTTTCCCTCCTCCCCTCCCCCTTCTTTCTTTCTCTCCTTTCTTTCTTTCTTTCTCTCCCTTCCTCTCCTCTTCCTTTCTTTCTTCTTCTTTCTCTCTTTTCGTTCATTCGAATTCGAACCCGAGCGAGTGGACGAATGGGCAAGATGAGATAAGATAAGATAAGATAAGAAAACGCGCGGCGATGTCGCGCGATCGGCATTGTTGACGAGACGTTGTTGGTGAAGGGGGTGGGGAAAAAAATTGGGATTCATCGATCGAAGGATCGATGGAAGTAGTGCGCGAGAACGGGAGAGGAACTCGAGAAAAAAAGGTGTTGCGAAACAAAGGTGTCGTCGACGGTAATAGTAATAATAGTTCGAAGGAGTGATTGAGGATAAAGCGAGCGAGAGAGAGAGAGAGAGAGAGAGAGAGAGAGAGAGAGAGAGAAAGGGAGGATTTTCCATCCTTTTCGATGATAGGAGGAGATAGCGACACGTGTTCGCCGCGCACTTTGGCCAGGACTTGAATACACACGCCCTGGGAGAATTTCTCGAAAGGCGATGTTGTGAAAAGTGTGCAAACAAGCCGTGTGCCACGCTTGGAATATACATATACACATATATATATATCATATATACGTGCATACGCACGTACGTATATATCGTGGCCGTTTGTGGAAGTCGGAAGTCGAAGGAATTACCACCACTGTGACCCTCTGGTAAGCTTCACGTTTACTTCTCCTTCCTCCTCTTCCCTTCCCTCTCCTTTCGAAACGAATTTTCCGAGGCCGGTGCTGCTCTATAATTTCCCGTCGGCCGAAACGACGGTGTACGGCGACGGTTTAGTCGGCTATAAATTTGTCCGCGGTCCCATACCTTGTATTACAAATTCCATTCCCCCGACAATACAATGCGGCTCGAGAACTCGTGTAGCAAAATCGACGTGGTAAACGGCTGATGATCGGCTCGAATGTGTATTATGTAGTTGCGGATAGGGAGGCAAAAAAACTCATCGCTTCGGTCGCGCGCATTTTATTGCCATTTCGAGTCGACGTTGCCAATGCTACGAAGTCGTCGATTCGTCGGTGGATGGAGAGAAAGAGAGAGAGAAAAAATTATACGCGAAGCGTCACAATCATCGTGCCACTTGTTCGTCGAATCGCTCGAATACCCCGTACGCTCCTCCATCCATTGTACACCCGTGAAAATAGCGTCGTGTTCTCTACGGTACAAACACACAGGTACCGAGTTCGCGTCACTGTTTTTTACGCTTCGAACTCGTAAACGCTCGCCTCTCGTCTTTCTTCTCCCTTCCTCCGTCCCTCTTCTCCCCTTTCATTCGTCAATCCTTACATCGCCGCCACCGGGATTAAAACTAATTTCTCTCTTGTTCTACTCCGAAGTAGGAGTCAAAGTCCAAGCTTCCTCTTGCAAACTTTGGAAAGCGTCGGGGTATAAAAATATTAATAAAGCAAAGTTTGCCGAATATAATACGCCGTTCGCACTACGTGGCGAGTATCGCGGAGGACTCTGCCGGAACGGGAGTGGAAAATTGCGAGAGGAGAAGGGAGGAGGGGGAAAGAAGTTTAACTTTTAAAAGGAAGAGGTAGGAGGGGAATGGCTTTACGGTGGCAAACTTGGGGAATGGAGTGCGCTTGATGAACGAAAGTACAAGTAACTGCCTATTCCAAACTTGCGAAATATGCCGCGTTTCCGGCTCGCCTCGTGGAGACCTTCCCAACGAACTCTAAAGAAAAAGCTTGCGAGCGAATCGAGCGTGAACGTGCACTCGAATCGAGCAAATTAAATCCTCTCCGTTATTAATTTACAACAACCGGCAACGTGCGTGTCGGATCCTCCATCCGGTAAGGAACAACACTGGCCGTTTTCCCAATTATCTCCGTGGAATCGGTTTCCCAAAACACACGTTTCTAACAAGGTTTCGTATAAGGGGAGAGGGAGAGGGCCGTCGTTCTTTCATCGATTCTTTCAAACGTTTCTTTCGATTTCCTTTCTCCCGGCTTTCGCGAGGAAATTTTCTCGGGAAATTGAACACACTTTTTATTGGGGAACGAAGCGAATCGGTTCAGAAGCGAAAGACTCTCCTCCCTCTCTTCGCCTCGAAATTTTCCAAACGCGATCCAAGATAAACTCGTTAAACTCTCTAAACCGATACGTTTCTTTTCCCCCGGCTCGGGGAAATTAGGTTTGTCTTAAAAATCGTCGAAAGTGCTGATCTTTCGTCCGACGATTGTCGCTTTTGAAAAACCCCTTTCTCCCCCCCGTCCCCCGTCTTTTTCCCTGATATCCGTTTAAACAGCCACGATTGTCGAGGAAAAGATTCTCCCTCGTCATCGTTCAATTCGATCGAATAAAAAAAAGATCTACGAATCTACCGTTTTTTGAAATCGGAATTTTGAAATCGAATTTCGTTCGAGAGAAACGACACACGCGCACAAAAAAAAAAAAAAAGAAAAGAAAAAAGGAGAAAGAGAATTGGCGAAGCGTTTCTACCGGGAAACTTTAAACCGGAATCGTAACACGAATCAAGTGGACAATAAAGTCTCTCTATTTCGTCGAACGTGCATTTTCAGCGGGACGGAATCCCCGGGTCACGTATTTGGTGTAGGATAGTTGTAGCTCTGGCAACTGGAGGGAAGTAACTTCGCGTGTCCTGTGTGGAGCGCATCGGAAAGACAACTTCCCGTATCCCGTTCGTGGGCACGGCCAATCCTTTCTCTCTCTCTCTCTCTCTCTCTCTCTCTCTCTCTCTCTCTCTCTCTCTCTCTCTCGTCCCCCGTGAGAAAGGATAGGACCCGAGTAAAAAGTACTTACAAAGTGTCGTAGACAGTGAACGTGTCCCGTGTAACGCGGGGAAAATGGTAGGAAGGAGCCGATAATGCCGATCACGGAAATCGAATTCGACTCTCGTCCTCTCCCCACCGTGTTTCGTTCGCGAACAAGTGCCACCGTCCAACCTGCTTTTCGCCTCGTAAATCATAATCCCTCCCCATCCCCCTCCGCTGTTCCGGCTATCTTTGAACGATTTACGATCTATTTGCCTCCTCCCCTCCCTCGCCAATATGTTTACGCAGCTTTAAATCTAGATTCGAAATCGCGTCCCCGTTTCGAAGCTTCGAATATTACCCTCCTCTTCGCGCGAATAAAACGAGAATCTTCGTTTCTTTGCGAGCAAGAGAAAAGAAGAGAAGAATTAAATTCGAGCTCGAGAGTTATATTATTGTTATATTCGGACGGAGAAATTCGTCGAGAAATGATAACAAGGAGGGGGGAGGGAGGGGGATCAGGTTTCGTTTATTGGCAATTAGCTAGGATTGGGGGGGGTATCGAGGGTGAAGGGGGCCGAGTATCGCTCCCGAGTTAGTCGCAGTGGACAATCGAGGACGATCCTCGAAAGGATGTCTTCCATTCCGTATTGACGGAACAAATACGAAAATGGTCAGCGTTGAATCGGATAATGATCGGGAAGGAAGTCGGCTAACAAAGACGGATCTTCGATCGAGTCTTCGAGGCTGGCCGGCCAGCCAACCGAACATAATTCAATTCCTCTCTCTCTTTCTCTCTCTCCTCTCCTCTCTCTCTCTCTCTCTCTCTCTTACCTTTAAACCCGCGACAGAGTTAAATTTTAATCGATCCTCGTCATCCGAGAGGATCCAAGTGAGATCGCCTCCTTTCGTAATAAAAGTGTGAAGTTTTAACAGGATGGGATCCAGTTATAATAATGTGTGCCGATGATGTGTTTTGTTGATAGACAAAGAGGGGGAAAAAGTTTGGAAGCGGAGCGTCGGAACGGAAGTGGAGGAGGAGTTGAACGCGGTTAGGATGGTTCGAGGGTGAAATTGAATCAAGAGACGTTCATCAGTATGCTGTGGATATTGATCGCTGTGACGTGCATCGAGCTATCGACCATTGCCAACGCACAGTCGAGAAAAACTACCGCTACGTCTATGCGAGAGGATGCGAACAACAACACCGAGCCGGATCATCCGAGTGAGTATAATGTATACACTGCGTGATATAACTGTGACACAGAAATCCTTCGAAATCGTTCAAATCGTGTCCTTCGCTGTATTTTTAATGATCGAAAAAAATATTTCGATTTCGTTTCGAGCGCGCCCGATATCGATATATGGTGGACACAATTTGAGAAGAAAAGTTACCAGTAAAACTCCAGTTTCTCCTTTATTCGCGAAATATATCTCTCTTGTAAATTAATTATACAACATTTGATAATATTACGTATCTTTCGGTATAAGAATTAATTCGTTCGATGAATATGCATTTCGTTTGCGCGAATTCGAATTCTACAGAATTCGTGGAATTCGTTGTAGAATTTTGGCCCCGGTTATGAGCGTGCCGCACTCGCAAATAACAATGTATCAAAGGTAGAATAGCGATCCTTTTATATTAAAATATCGATCTTTAGGGGAGAGGGAAAAAATTCTTTCTTGGCTAAAAAATTGGTAGAGACGAGCAAAGAGAAAATATATATATATTATATATATATAAAATTCTTTCTTGGCTAAAAAATTGGTAGAGACGAGCAAAGAGAAAATATATATATATACATATATATATATATATATATATATATATATTTCTCTCCTGTGGATATAATGATTAAAAATATCGCGAAAGGAACGGCAACGACTTTTTTCTTTCGCGCAGATCGCAAAAAAAGATCGTTTCACGCGTCGTCGAAGGGCAAGAGAAGGACGAATCGCCAGAGAGAGAGAGAGAGAGAGAGAGAGAGATAAAGAGTTCGAGAACGGGGATTTAACGGATTAATCGTGGCCCGTGGAGCGTGCACACTTTATATAAGTCCTGGATGAAACCGAACTAATTAGATATGTATACGGGTGGAGCGTCGCCGTGGGACGTATAATTAATGCGATGCACCGGTTAAATGAGAAATTAATTACGATATGGAAATCGGAAGGATCCATCGCGGCCCCAAGGGAGAGATTCGCCCCTCCCCCTTCGGACGACGATTCGTTTCTTCGAATCGGCGAAGAGCACATGTGGGCAGAAAGCGTCGAATGAGAATCCTCGACGCTTCGAGATCTTTCTCTTTTCCCCCTCCCCCTCGAGAAATTTCTCGACCGCTCTCTTTTATTATTTAGTAAAAGAGGTTTCTCCTCGGCGAAACCTGACTCAGACGGAGTTAAATATTAGAGTTAAGAGTTAAACCCTGTTGTTGAACCGAGGCCAACGAAACTATATACGTACGCTCTGCGCGTCGACTCGAACTTCTTCCCTTCGTCTCGTTTTCGAGATCGAGATCGATCGTTTTCGAAAATTTGGATTTTCAAGATTTCGAATATCCGACACTGTCCTGGAAGAAAATATCGGCTCGATGGGTTTAACCCCCATCGGATGGAGAAGAAAGAAAGAAAGAAGGGGGGATAGAATTTTTCCGATAATTAAATTGAATATTCTTGAAGGTTGGTCAAGATAAAGTTCTCGGTTGTCCGTAATCTCGTTGATTAACGAAGATTCAAAGGGGTGTTGGCCGATTTTATAAAGGAAAGTTTAAGCCAATTGAGGGAAGTACCTCCGAATATTAACGAAGAAACGTTTTCTTTTTTCCTCCTCCATCTTCGAGCCTCGCGACAACTCTCGTTTAAATCTGAGAAAAAGAAAAAGAAAGAAAAACAAGTAGATTCTTTCTGATCGAAGATCTTTCTTGTTCGATTTCTAAAAATTTTATTTACATTCGCCTGTCCCCTAAGATGTATCCAGAAGATATTCCCTCCCCCAACGAGTTTACCAAGATATTTTCCTTCAACTTTGAAAAAGAATCGAGAGAGACACTACCAGCAAGAGATCGATGCAAATTTTCAAATCTTCATTCAAATTTTCAAACTATCTTGGAGATATGAGGGTAAAAACGGTTTCGAGGGTTTCCTTTCCTTTCCTTTCCTTTCTTCCCTCTTCCTCTCTCTTCTTAATTTTTCTAAAACAAAAAAAAAAAAATAGGATAGTAACGCGAACCCTTTAAAAAAGTCTTACGTTTTCTCGCTTGAAACGCTTAGAAGGGGGGAGGAAGGGATGAGGAGGTTGTAAAGAAAAAAAAGAATCCTCCGTAAATACACTTTGCCTTTACTCCCCCCGGTATCTTTTTAAAGGGTGGAAGGGCGCCCGTCGAGAGGGGGGGGGGAGGGAAAAAAGAATGAAGCGAAATATCGCGTAAAAATTACGTCCCTAGGGGGATGCCGAAATGGAGAGAGTTTAGATAAAAATTTCCTACGTTTGTCACGGTCCTTCCTAATTAAAGCTTCTGAGATTAATGCCTGGTAATTTTCCACCGCCCCGGGACAATCGATATTTTTTCCCCTCGAACGTTCAACAGAGGAGGAGAAGGGACGAGCCCTTCTGCCTCTGAGAACAGAAGAGATCGTCCTTTGAAAGAAGCTGTTTCATCCTTGAAAGAAACTGCCTTGAGATCGGTGTATGCGTGGTATATTAATCGTGTGATATGAAAGCGTGAGATAATTGAATACGAATAATATTTATCTCGGGGAGGGGAAAAATACACCGTCCGTGCGATGGTTGGATCGTGTGGTTGAACGTTAAACACATTTCGATGAAGTTGTTCGCATCGGGTGGAGACCGCATTTCTGGATATAAGCCGCTTTCACGGACTTCTCTTCTTGTTGGTAGAGCGGTAACGGAGCACGATCTAACCCACCTGGTTACTCGAAACAACGATTCAAGCCGCTCTAACGAGCGTGTCTACTCAACTACTAAGCTTGTTAACCGAGCCGTAGCGAAGAACGTACGCAAGAAACGTCGAAGTGAAACGGATGCGTGTGTTTTTAATGCTCCCATATGCTCCATCTGTCACTCTCCCTACCATTTCGAGCCGTTTTCGTTGCTCCTTGTTACCTTACGTCTGACGCGAAAAGAAAACCGTGGAAACTGCGCGCGCATCGTAGAAGGGATTCGCGGATATCGGGGGGGAAGTAAGAGTATCTCGAAAAAGATTTTACAAGCTGGAAACTATATAGGAAGTTGTTTAGAGAAAAAGAAAAATTGAGATGATCTTTATCTAAAAATGAAAAAATAAAAATAGAATAAATAAATTCTCGCGTTATAATCCACTTCGTGGCGTTAAAACTTTTACTCGTAAAGTTTCTTCTTCTTCTTGGTAATTTTAAAGAAAAGCGTAACGAGCCGTTATCTCCCTAACGTAAATAATCGAACGAATTAGACAATCTTTTCTAATTCCAACGTTTTCCCAAAGCGGGAGGATTTTAATTTTTCCCCCCGTTTTAATTACCACTGTACAAGCCACGTTAAAAGCAGGCGAGTCGATAAAGGAGGTCCCTCAAGAGCCGATATTTCGATACAGGCATGCTAAGCTCCTCTGCGACACGAACCCCGAAACGAACGTGAAATAATAATTACCTAATTACGTACAACTCACAGGGGTGTATTAAGAGGATTCCGCGTTTCTCGCACAGTGGATGCGATCCCCAATGAAATTTATACGCGTCCCCCTCCACGGTGTCGAATCGATGCGATAAGAACTTGCGGATCTCCGTTTCGCACCGACAACTCTCTCACTCTCTCTTTCTCTCTCTTTCTCGAACGAACGAACGAACGAAACGAACACACGCGCGCAAAAAAAAGAAGAAGAAAAAGAAGAAAAAGATGACGCGTACGTAAGCGTTCGAACGTAATCGTTATATCGCGTCGTAAAACGACACCGTCTCCTCTTATAAGTAAAAACCAAGTACTTAAGCGTTGGAATGGATAGAACACCGTTGACCTGGATTCACGGAAAATTTGTAACTGGATAATTCGACGAGATCGAATCTTCGATCGAAAGGAGCTTTAAAAATTCTTCCTTCTTTTTCTCTTCCTCTTTTTAAATTGGCGCAACAGAATAAGCGTTAGCGCGCTAACTGATTCGACGTTACGATTTTATTCAAAGAGGCAATTTCTATCGCCTCGGTAAAAACGAGAAAATATAAATACTCGAAGAACTCGTTTCCGCTATATATCGATTTCGCTCGCAACCATTGCCATCTCCCCTCTCTCCCCTCCCCGAGTGAAGCGCGTATCGCCATTATTTTAATAATGTTTCGTTAAAGGGGACAAAGGGAGAGAGGATATTAAAATGTTGTACGCATTTTTCCAATTTAACCTTGTAACCCGTCCCTTCTTTCTCTCTTTCTCTCTCTCTTTCTCTCTCTCTCGTTAATATCCTTTCTCCCTCTACTTCTCGGGTAATTGCCCGTTTCATTTCGAACGATAACGTTTCAAAATTGCAAAAAGGGGGGGGGGAAGAAAAAAATTTAATCGCGATTTTTTATTATACGCATTTGGGAACAAAATTTCCCAAAATTCGTTCCATTAATTTAACAAACCCGTTTCCTCGAATGGACGCCTTCGATCCCGAATGGGGGATCGCGATGTACGCGCGGATGTACCACGCGTCTGCGGTCGACGTCAACAAAATCCGGTGGTCGATGAAACACCGTTATTAAATAACGGCTTGTAACCGTAATCACGCGCTAATGTCACGCGCGCATTTGCGCGAAATAAATTCGGTATATCGAATACGTGGTTCCCCTCCTATTCAACTATTATCTATAATCTTTTCACGTTTACAACACCCGTTGTAAAACAGATCGATCATCGATTCGACCAATCGAAAGACATCCACTAACGAAATTCAACGTGCAATCAACGAGTCCCGTTCCCTCGTTTCGCTCTTCTCTTTTCTTTCCCCTCCCCTCGCCCGTGTAATCGAAAATATAGAATGCGTATCGTAAGCGGGACGCAAGGATCGAAAATGCGAATCGAAGAGAGAGAGAGGGAGAGTAATGACGTAGCGAGCGATTGATCAAAGGAAGGCAAACTAACTGGTAATTAATCGAGTTGCACTGTCGAGGGGAGGCAAATATTTCGAAGGATTGGTTTTCCGCCTCTCTCGTCGTGTATCCCTTCTCGAGTGAATTTTCGAAATCGCGTTATCTTTA